CAGCCATCACACCACTTATGAGAACTAATCCCGCTCTGTTCTCTCGGGGTCACAGGTTAAAGGTTCGACCAACGACCAAAATTAAAACCTCCAGAGTCTCTCGTCTTTTATTTTATTTCCCATGAAGCTCAGGAACATTTTACCCGAACCACAAACTGTACACGGAAAAAAAAACTAAAAAACTGGGCCAAAATGTGAGATCCAGGACACAACTAATCTCTCTCTGTCCCGTTTATCCTCGTATCTGCATACTCCCTCTCTTCTCTCTCTCTTTCCTTCTCTCCCTCTGTTTCTCTCTATCCTGATTTTCTTTCTCCAGTGGCTTTTCTCTCTCCCCCTCTTTCTCTCTGTCTCTCTTTCCTCGTCTCCGTACGTCTCTCTCACTCCCGATATCGTTGGACTCTCTCTCTCTTTTTCTCCCCCTCTTTCACATTTCTCTCTCTCTTTTTCCTTCCCCCCCCTCTCTCTCTCTCTCTCTCTCTCTCTGTGGTGTGGTGTCTGTTGATTCTTTGGCTCGGTCTCGGTCTGAGGTTTGGCTCAGGATCAGGATTGGCTCTTCTCACACTCTCTCTGTCTCTTCTCCTCTCCTTCTGTCTCTGTTTCTCTCTCTCCTTTTTCTCTCTTCTCTCTCTATCTCTCTTCTCTCTCTGTCTGTCTCTCTTCTCTTTCCCTCCCCATCGCTCTCTCTCTTTACTCTCTGGGTTTCTCTTTCTTCCCTCTCTTGATTCCTCTTCCCTCTCTCTTCTCTCTCTCTGTCTGTTTCTTCTCTTTCCCTCTCTCTCTCTCTCCCTCCCTCTTCCATCTCCCCCTCTCTTCTCTTCTCTCACTCCCTTGCTCTTTCTTCTTTCTCTCTCCCCACGCTCTCATTTCTCTCTCTCTCTCTCTAGCTCTCTTCTCTCTCTGTTTGCTTTCTCTCTCTCTTCGACCTCACTTTCTTCTCTTCCTCTGTCTGTCTCTCTCCTCTCTTCTCTTTCCCTCTCCGTCACTCTCTCTCTTTTCTCTTTCTTCACTCTCTCAATTCCTCTTCCTCTTCTTCTCTCTGTCTGTTTCTTCTCTCTTCCCTCTCTCTCTCTCTCCCTCCCCTCTTCCATCTCCCCCTCTCTTCTCTCTCTCTTCTCTCACTCCCTTGCTCTTTCTTCTTTCTCTCTCCCCACGCTCTCATTTCTCTCTCTCTCTCTCTCTAGCTCTCTTCTCTCTCTGTTTGCTTTCTCTCTCTCTTTCGACCTCACTTTCTTCTCTTCCTCTGTCTGTCTCTCTCCTCTCTTCTCTTTCCCTCTCCGTCACTCTCTCTCTTTTCTCTTTCTCTTTCTTCACTCTCTCAATTCCTCTTCCTCTCTCTTCTCTCTGTCTGTTTCTTCTCTTTACCTCTCTCCCTCTCCTCTCTCTCTCCCTCCCTCTTCCATCTCCCCCTCTCTTCTCTCTCTCCTCTATCTCCCATGTCTCTTCTCTCTCTCTTCCCTCCTCCCTCCCTCCCTCTCACTCTCTTTCTTCTTTCTCTCTCTCTCTCTAGCTCTCTTCTCTCTCTGTGTGTGTCTCTCCTTTGCTTTCTCTCTCTCTTTCAATCTCACTTTCTTCTTTTCCTGTCTGTCTCTTCTCTTTCCCTCTCCCTCGCTCTCTATGTTTCTCTCTCTATCTTTCTTTACTTCTCTCTGTCTTCCCCTCTTTATGTCTCTTCTCTCTCTCTATCTGTCTCTCTTCTCTTTCCCTCTCCCTTGCTCTCTCTCCCTCTTCTTTCTCACTCCCCCTCTCTTTGGTCTCTCTCTGTTTTCTCTCTCTAGCTTTTTTCTCTCTTTTCTCTCCCTTTCTCCTCTCTCTCTGTTTTATGTCTCTTCTCTCTGTCTGTCTCTTTTCTCTTTCCATCTGCCTCGCTCCCTCCCTTCTTTCTCTCTCCTCCTCTTTCTGTTCTCTCGCTCTCTCTAGCTCTTTTTTCTCTCTCTTCTCTGCCTCTGTCCTCTGTCTGTCTCTCTTTCTTCTCTCTCAATTCCTCTTTTCTCTCTCTTCTCTCTGTCGTTCTCTCTTCTCTTTCCCTCTCCTACACTCTCTTTATTCTTTCTCTTTTCCCCTCTCTCTTCTCTTCTCTCTCTTCACAGATCTTGGATATTTGGTTGTAAATCTCTCTCTTCTTCTTCTGTTCTGCCTCTTCCTCGTGTAAAATTCTAATCCTCCGTTTCAAAGTGGTTTTAGTTTTTAGTTCCAGTTCAGATTAAATCACTTCCTCGTTTCAGTTCAAAAATAAACGTCACTTTTCTGATTCATCCGAACAAATCAAACCCAGATGATTTTAGAAAACTCTTCCTCCGTAAATCTGAGTTCAACTCGAGCAACAAGCGCCACAAGTTATTGAAGAACAGAAGCTCTGACGACCAACGCCACCCAACGCCAACGCCAACGCCACATCTGCAAACTAACGCCACAAACGCCAACCCTTTTGACTTGCCCCAAATTTGTCCATCTAATATAATTTGTCAAATGTTCACTGATGATGCAGTCTTGTATGTTCATTCTAAAAACAAACAGCAAGCTGCACACGATCTGTCAAACGTTATGTCAGAGGAGCAAACTGGCTCCAACATTCACAACTACATCTTAATATATCAAAGTCTGTTAATATGTTTTTCTCAATAAAACCTGGCATGGATACAGACCCACATGTATTTGTGCTTGGAACAAAACTGAAAATGGTCCATGAAGTGAAGTATCTGGGAGTCGCCCTGGACCCACGACTATCGTTCAAACAACACGTCAAATAACAGTGAATAAAATCAAATATCATTTATCAAATTTTCATCACATAAGAAATAATCTAACGACCAACTCAGCATTTATGTATTTAAATTCAATGATTTTGCCACACCTAAATTATTGCATTACTACTTGGACTTTGACAAACAAAACTACTCTTAAATGAGCTGAAACTATATATAAAAAAATCACTTAAAGTATTAGACAAATTGATCACTGTTGCAGAAAACTTGACAAATACAAATTCCTAAATTGGGACAACACAATCAAATATGCAGATTTAATTCTGGTTTACAAAGTTTTTAATCATCTCTTGCTCCACCTCGTCTAAAGGAGTTTGTGAAAAGAAATTCAAATCACACAACAAGAGCAGCTCTAGAGGCGACGCTCTGGGCCGTTTAGGAAAAATACCTTTGGACAAACTCTCTTTTGTTATCGAGCAGCTCAAACATGAACACAGAGAAACTGCTCATGTACGAGAACTTTCAACACTGCAGCATTTTCTAAAGCTTTAAAACACTGGTTATTCAATGGTCAAATATGTCTCCATGTTCAAACAATTTATATTTTCTTTTATTCTGAAGGGTTGTTGGTTTAACTCTTCACTTAATTCTTAAACTTCTGACTTTGAGCTTCAAATGAAACTGTTTGAAACTAATTGTGTGTACAGTGTGTGTTTGTGTGTACAGT